GTTTCTAAAGAGGCAAAAAGAAAAGCAGAAGCAGCTGCTCCTTCAGGGAGCAGACGCTCTCATGCGTTGCCACTCTTGGCATGTTCCTGATTTGAAGTGAAACTTGCTTATGTACCGGGGAGCAGCCGACACTCGGGCACTCGTGGAGTCCTCAGGAGCTTTGTCCGTGTGGGCATGTGCTTGTGCACAGGTTGCCACAATTAAACCAAAGCACTTACGAAACCACTAACGTTTACCCTGTGCAAACCCAGCATCCAGACTGTCTGCTCTGGCTGAGCCCTGCATCTTCCCGTGAGCCGGGATTCGCTTGGAAGAGAAAAAAATTGGAAGAAGTGAGCGACTGCCCGCGCTGCGACGCCGTGCAAAAGCCGTGCTGCTGGCAGCGGGGACGATTGCCAAGGCGCCTGCTCCGGCGCTAGCTGGCAGTGATTCATCTGCTGCGGCTCATCTGGTTTCACCATGAAAACCCCTGCCTGCGTGGGGGCACGGTTAGGCAAGCCTGGACTTCGCCGGCCGCAGCGGGTTGTCCCCGTCCACCGGTCCCTGCGGCTTCAACCACAGACGGAGCTTCTGTGAGCGAGCACCGGCTGGACTTTCTAAAGAGGAAAGTGAAAATCAGGCGATGGTTCTTGGCGTTACTGTCTGCAGGCAGCAGCAGCGGCACGGGCCGATGGAGCGTGCTGGGAGGCAGGAACGGGATTTTCATGTAGTGTTGGCTGCGTTGCCATGGGCTGGATCGGCCATGCTGTTCCTGGTGGGCTTCTTTCCGGCCTGACAGTGATGCTCTGCTCTTCAAGAGCAGCGCAACCGCCCCTCGGGAACTGAAGGTCTGATATTCCTCCTTCTCTGTATTTAGAGACCAAATCCGCAATTCTTTTCCTCTAGGGTTTAATATTTAAACTTTTTTTTGTTTTTTAAACCCAAAAGGCCGCTGAGCCGGCAGCGGGCTGAGCTCTCAGGAAGAAGATAACCCAGCAAGGAAACCGTTTGCTTCTGCGGGATAAAAAAACCCAGAAAACCACCACCTCTGCTCTATGTGACCGCCTTGCGCTGTTCCTGTAACACCCCGACTGACACAGAGATTGGCGGGAACTCCATCAGCGCTAAGCGATGGGGATAAAACATCGCAGCAGCTCTCAGGGTTTCAGGGGCAGCAGAAGGTTGCATGCAGAAGAGGTGTGCAGGGCAGCACTGTCCTATTTAGTTTTGCAGCGCCCAGGGTCTCATCCTGCAGCTCGCATGGCCCCAGTGGGATCCAGCGCGGCAGAGGCAGGGCTGAGCCCCAGCCCAGCGCTCCAGCTCTCGGCTCACCTCACCTTGCCTGGTTTTTGCCCCAACTGCTGATGTTTGGCACGTGTTAATTGATGTTGGGAGCCAAGGGGGGTTCGCAGAGCTGCTGCCCGCACCCGAGACGCGCAGCGGGCGTCAGGTCAGGGCACAGCCTGGCAAGATGCTGCGAGCAGGGAGCTGGGTGATGCTGGTGCTGTGGTTCTGGTTTGAGGTAGGTGTCAATGAGTCACATGGATGACTTGTAATGGTACCTTGGGTGTCTCAGCTCTGCAGGCTGCCCTTTGGGTGTTTTTCTTTTTTCCCCTTTTTTTGCCTTTTTTTTAAACAGTGTTCCAGCAGGGAGGGACTGTTGTGAACAGGGCTGGCCTGGCAATGGGAAAAAGGCTGCTTGAGGACATGGCCAGAAGTGAATCATGGTGATCGCTGCTCCCCTGGAAACGTCATCTCTCCATGGCAGAAGCTGCCTTTGGTTGCTCAGATGGCTTCTGCTGGGATTTCCAGAACACCCTTCCTAAAACTTCTTGGAGATGATGCATATGTTTACTCAGAGGTGTCGTTGTGTGCTTTTGCCCACCAGATCTGCGTCATGATGCAAGCATCCCCGTGTCCTGGTGACGCGTGGCACAGACATCTTTGTGCATGGCTTACATGGCAATCCAGCGCTAAATGTCCCCTGGCTCTGGTTTCTCTCTCCCTCGAGCGCACCCGTGCCGCTGGCTGGGACCCCCACAGCACCTTTCCGCGGTCCCATCCAGCCTGCTGACTCGCTCTGCTTCCACTCCCTTCTGAATCAAGCGGCTCCTGTAGCATCAGGTAACTGGAAACCCTCGTTCCCTGTACAGCAAGAGCCATCCCGTCTGCTTCCTTCCTGTGGTTGCTTTAACCAGAGTGACTGAGCTTTACTGAAAACATCACCACAGCTGAGCTGATGCTGCCCTTTTCTCTGTGCGTGGCAGAGCCCAGGCACCAGTTTCCCTCACGAGGGCCCCCAGGCTCCTACCTTGAGCTGGCGACATGGGCTCTGAGGGCTGTTTCCCACCTCCCCGTAGAAGAAAAGTTATATGAAGGGGATGGAAATACAGGCGGAGGGGGTAGGGGAGCATGCGGACCAGATCTGCCAGGGGTGAAGCTTTGAGCAGTGCTCAGAAGTGCAGGTTTTACTGAGAACACCAATAATGTCTTGGGGCAAATTCAGCAATTCCACTGACCAGCACCGGCCTGAAGTCTGGGCAGAAACTGACTTAGAAACTGTTGTATTAACTGAAAAAAATTATGTTTCTAATGCAGTGAGGAAAGAAACCCCCCCTGCCAATAAACACCCGAAGTCTGCTGGACTTGGAAGCGAGGGGCTCGAAGTGGTGAAAATGGAAGAGGCTCGAAAGCGAAACAGAAACGTGGCCAGGTCGGAACCCACCGGCAGCCACCCCGGGCTGTCGGTGTGAGCTGGAGTTTGGAAACGGGTGCGCTGGTTGGATTCTGGGTTTATCAGTAAGAGAGCTGGAGGTTCCCATGTGCACGCGTGCTCGGTTTTGTCTGGGATTCACCTGCTGTCCGTACGGATCCATGTGTATGGATATGCAGTCCCCAGCCCTAGGAAAAGCAATCAGTTCTGTTGTTAATTTGTATTAGTCTAGTTTTTAGCTATTATCTACCATCTGATCTAGGATCAAGGCCTCCTCCTGGCTGGGAACAAGCGTGAAGTTGGGGACAGCTCAGCAGACACAGGGAGGCAGCGGTGCGATCCCCTGTAAATCAGGGGAAGGGAGGCGCAGTGATGTCAAAGCCCTGGGGACTGTCGATGACGTTTGGGTGTGTAACCAGTAATTTACCTGTAAATGCTGCTCTGGTAAGGACACTGGCGAAAGTTAGAGGCTGAAGAGGCTGCAGTGACCCAGGGAGTACCCTGGGGCCAGAGATTCTCTACTGTAAGAAATCACCAGCAGGTATTTTGTTCCAGCAAAGTCTGTCAGAAATCTGCATTTAAATGTGAGGACCTGGGGTCTTCTCGCTTGCACGGCCGCTAACGCCTGCAGCGCATCCTCGGTGGTCCTCCTCGCCTGGACCTGTGCCCGCTGAGCTCTGACCCAGCACGGTGAGACCGGGCACAGCATCTATGCCCTGGTGCTGATTTACAGCCCTCTTAACAACTTGGAAGGACAGAACAGAGGCTTTATTCATTAGGAGGTCTTTATTAGCAAAAACAAAGATTTCTTCTCATACAGATAAACATGCAACAGTTCACGCAGTGACAGAAGCCGTGGCCAAGGCACGGTGCCCCCGCCGGCGTGACCCCCCGGGAACGGAGCCGCTGATGCTCTTGGCTCTCGCCGCAGCGCCGGGGCTGTCCTCGCCTCTCGCTGAAGTCAAGGCGTTTGGTGGAAAAACCAGTACAAAGCTGGCTCAGCAGGAGTTTAATGTGTCCTGGTTAATTATTCTACCAATGAACTAACAAATATTGACCTTACAGAGTTGAGCAGCATTTAGCCAAAAGTCAGTAATCTACATCGATCACTTAATGGAACATCAAAGCTCAGCATCTCTGACAGTTTTATGTCATTCAGCAAAAATCTGTCTATGCTTTGATGATACCTTGACCTTTCTTATTAGGCTTCCTTGGCAGAAAACTAAAAGCAGCGCCCGGCTGCTGCGGCTCCTCGTGCCCGGGGTCAGCGACCACACAAACCCGGACGGTGTCAGTGCTGCCTGCAGCTGTATGGATTTGAATGCAAATTACCCAAGCCACCTTAAAATGGTGGTTAATTAAATACCCTGTAACTTCTAAAAGAAAAAAAGTCCAAGAAACAAGCAAGTAAAACCCAATCAAAGACTGGAAAATAGTACAATTAACTTTTAAAAGTGCTGCGGAGTGGCTGACCCAGCAGCTCTCGAAGTCAGTCGTTAGCAACATTTCAGTCAAGTTCTATTAGAACCAAATATTTAATTCCTACTACTAGTTTTTTCTTTAATCTGGACCGATGTATAGGCTGAAATCTAGCGGTGGAGTCGGCTGATTGATTGCTGTGGGGTGATCGCACGCTGTTCAGGGAGTGCAGGTCCTCCGCCCCCCCCCCAGCGCTTTTCATGCACAGGAGGCAAAGATGCCCGTGGGTACATTTATGGTTATTCAGGTCAGCACAAGGCTGTGGAATAATTTTGAATAGTTCAGTACCTAATTCCAGCTGCAGAACCAGAGAGAGTGACATGGTTATGCACAGAAACCTTTGATTGCCTAAATAAATAGAGGAATAGAATAGGAGAAGAGTGCTCATTAAAATTAAACTTTGCTGCACCCGGAGCTGGAATTGCTCCTGCTCAGGCGACCACGCTCAGTGGAACTGCGCTCAGGATAAGCTTTGCTCATTGCCTGCTCCGCAGAAGAACGCTGCTTTGGGTGTTTTGAAGCTATGAACAAAATAGGACTATCATAAACAGTATTAAAATATTGAACAATAAATAATATTTTACAAGCTCATCACACTTTTCTTCAAAACATATTGTAAACATAATCACTGAGGTATTAGAGGTAATAAATATTAAATTCAGCTGTTAAAAAAATAACTTTTAAATAAAATACTAGACTTTATGTTATTGACCTGTAATTCTTGCCCTGAACCCTAAGATACATTAATCTCTTGTGTGCTCTTGCAGCCTGAAGTGATTTGTGAAGAAACAGCAGGATTCCGTGTGAAAGACGCAGACCGTGGGTGTTCTCACTTGCTTCTGTTCATCAGCAAGTACTCTTCGATGTAGTTGATGAAAATGTCAAACTCTCCCATGGCCTTGTAGATCCCGCTCTCGTGCATCTGCAGGGGAAAGCCAAGTCTGCATAAGTCTGAATGTGATGGAGCCCTGGCCCAGGCTGCCCAGGGAGGCTGTGGAGTCTCCTTCTCTGGAGATATTCCAGCCCCGCCTGGACGCGGTGCTGTGCAGCCTGCTGTGGGTGACCCTGCTTGGGCAGGGGGTTGGGCTGGGTGACCCACAGAGGGCCCTTCCAACCCTGCCATTCTATGATTCTGTGATATACATGATGTCCTAGGCTTATTCTCCTTCCACCCACATCTCCAGCTTCTCCACCCAACCCTTCAGAGGAACCCGCTGGCTGCTTCTTGGAGCATCGCTCTCTGGATTTCTCTGCCTTAGGTGTGTATATAATTAAAAACTTCTTTGGATTCTGTTCTCTCTCCTAAGCTGAAGCTGGCGGCAAAATCCCCTGCCTGGCCCGGGGCAGCGCCTTCCTCCCAACCTCACCACAGCCACGCGAGTGGGGACCTTACCTTATCGAACGTCTCCCTAATGTGCTTTACGGTTTTGCTCCTCTTCTCGCACGTGAAGAATCTGTGCTGCAAGGAGACGGGAACAACGGCTTCAGCCACGCAGGTTTCCTTCCCGGGGCGCGCGGCGGTGGCTCTCCCCACCTCCTGCCCTCGTCACTGCCGCCCCGCTGGTCTCCACCTTTCCCTTCGCCACGTGTGGCCTTGGGGCTCTCCGGGGCAGCAACGGCGGCTGCTTTGCTCCGGGTGCTGACGAAGGGAACCCAGCACGACCCGAGCACGGACCCTGAGCCCTTCCCCAGCCCCATGCCCCTTGCTGCCAGCCCTGGGGCTGAGCGAGGGCTCTCTGCCCAGGGTAGGGTTCGTCCCGGCTGACTCAGCTTTGCGGCAGGTGATGGAGTCACGGCCGCACCAGGCGTGGTTTCCGGAGGCATCGTCACAGAGCCACGCTGCTCCGGCGCCCAGGTAAGGGACAGACCCTCTGCCCCCCCTCCCC